AATTAGGTGTCAAGGGCGCATCAACACCCATTATTAAAAAAAACCCAACCAATTAAAAAAAACAAAGTAGAAATTTAGGAATGCAGAAAATATGGCGGTACGAAGTTCGCTGAGGCTTAAATATGAAATTGCTGATTTGTATTGAAAAATAGATTTTTGTTTTTTTTGTTTTTTGTTTTTCATTTCACATATTGATTTAATCAAAAAACTACCATACATAGAACCTCATAGGTACTAAAAAATCTCAAACCATGAAGGTTCTATGTCAATTCGAAGTATCTATTACAATAAATATACGCCTTCGTAGGAATACTCGAATATTATGTCTCCTATTCAATATCCTACATAAACCCACTTCTCCCTTATATTTACGTGAGCGATTCTCTTTCATTCGTTCTCCTGATGCTCCCTGTAGGTTCAACCAACGTTCTGTTTTGTTATTCCCTTCCCACAAAACCAATTTCTATTCTCACTCCTTTACTGTGCACGCGGTCAGACTGTGGAATTCGTTGCCGGCTGACATCCGAGTTTGCAAGTCTGTTTCTGTTTTTAAATACAAGGTCAAACAATTTTATCTCTCATCAACCGAATGATCATGGTTCTATACTCTTCGCATATACGAGTGTTACTGTGTTACTTATAATATTTGCTATGTGTATGTGCTATAATTCTCATGTTGTATTTGTTATTTTAGTTATGTGTTATTTGTTCTACACACACTTATCACTTTTTATTATTATTCTCATTATCCTCTCGCAGGTCTGCTGGAAGAGATTTCTCAAAGAAATAAGCAGTGCCTTTGTACATAATTTTCCTATTACTCTGTACTGTGTCTTGTTTTCTGTGTGTACATAAATAAATAAATAAAATAAATAAATAAATAAAACGGCAATTTCATACTTTAACCCCTATTATTATATATGTCGCCTATATTAAGGAACGGGGTCCCCCGTACAGCTTCAGCCCAGTCATGGACTCCATAAAACTGTCCGAAGCGAAATCACGACGCCACTCATAAACGTCAATTGCTTGGCCCTCATTATTGACACAAATTAATTAATTAGTTAACGGATGGCTCACATTTACGAGTGCAGGTATTCGCCAACAGACCTCAGATTTGAAGTGTTTTACTGAATTGTCAATAACAGAACGCGTTAATCTCAGGAACTACTGGTCCGATTTGAAAAATTATTTCAGTGTTAGATAGCCTACTTATCGAGGAAGGCTATGGGCTATATAAAATCACGCTAAGACTAATACAAGCGGAGCACCAATAAAGAATGTTTCAAAATCGGGGTTTTTTTCCCCTTTTGAGAGCTTCCGCTACGTGCGCTGCAGAAACGGTTCAAGTTTCGCTAAACTAATGTATGACGAATTTTTTCCCCTTTAAAAGATCTAAAAAAAAGTCCGTGTCAGCCATATGTCTATATCTTGGCTCACTATAACGTTTAGCATCTCATTTTTACCATCGCACCGCCCGCCACCGGAGTAGAGTTCATCCATACTACCTGGAGCCACTGCGGTCATCCACAGTGCGTTTCCAGAGGTCTTTTTTGCCACGTACCATCCGGCTATGGAATGAGCTCCCCTCCACGGTGTTTCCCGAGCGCTAATGACATGTCCTTCTTCAAACGAGGCTTGTGGAGAGTATTAAGCGGTAGTCAGCGGCTTGGCTCTGCCCCTGGCATTGCTGAAGTCCATGGGCGACGGTAACCACTCACGATCAGGTGGGCCGTATGCTCGTCTGCCTACAAGGGCAATAAAAAAAAACTAAAAAAAAAACGTTTTTTATGCTAACCAAATTTGTTCTGAAATAAAGCATTATTTTTGAACTATTCCACGCGGACGAAGTCGCGTGATATTAGCATTAGTATGTTGACATTAACCCAAACTAGATCTTGACATTCAAGACAATTGGCTGTTCTAGTTTCATTCTGGTAGAGATGTATCCTTTTTAACGGTTCTGTTAGCTTAGCCAAAATATTTATATGTGTTACGGAATACAACGTAATTTTAGGTTACTGCAAATCAATCGATTAACGAGACTGGTGGTAGGAACTCTTGTGAGTCCGCGCGGGTGGGTACCACCACCCTGTCTATTTCTGCCGTGAAGCAGTAATGCGTTTCGGTTTGAAGGGTGGGGCAGCCGTTGTAACTTACTTGAGACCTTAGAACTTATATCTCAAGGTGGGTGGCGCATTTACGTTGTGGATGTCTATGGGCTCCAGTAACCACTTAACACCAGGTGGGCTGTGAGCTTCTCTAACCATATAAGCAATAAAAAAAAAAATTGGCACATACACTTAATAAGACCGATGCCAAAACCATAATTTTATCACCTTGACATCATTATTATAAGGATTACAACCTATATAAAAATGAATTGCTGTTCGTTAGTCTCGCTAAAACTCAAGAACGGTCGGACAGATTTGGCTGATTTTGGTCTTGAATTACTTGTGGAAGTCCAGAGAAGGCTTAAAAAGTATGGTAAAAATATGAAAATGCTCGGAATTAAAAATAAAAAGAACAATTTTGTTTTTCTTTTGATTTGTCCCCCGTCGGACGGAATCCTTTTGTTTGTTTTAAGTTTATTTTATACAAAAGCTTAGGTTTTTTATTTATCGATTGAGGCACTACGAAGTCTGCCGGGTCAGCTAGTAATATATAATTTTTAGGTCGTCTTGGCAGTACAGAGTGTTGTTTTTCTGAAATTTTAAACTATAATTGCTTGTTTTTAAAGATTATTATGGTACGATCTCAGGGCTTATGACTTCACCAAGTAGTTACCCACGGCCGCCTTGAGACATGAGGTCTATTATATTGTTTCGGCTTAACGCTTCTAATTCGTCGTGCCCTAACGGATAAGACGTCCGGTGCATTCGTGTTGAGCGATACACCGGTGTTCGAATCTCAGGCGGGTACCAATTTTCCTAATGAAATACGTACTCAACAAAAGTTCACGATTGACTTCCACGGTGAAGGAATAACATCGTGTAATAAAAATGATACCCGCAAAATTATAATTTGCGTAATTACTGGTGGTAGGACCTTTTGTTAGTCTGCGCGGGTGGGTACCACCGCCCTGCCTATTTCTGCCGTGAAGCAGTAATGCGTTTCGGTTTGAAGGGTGGAGCAGCCGTTGTAACTATACTTGAGACCTTATATCTCAAGGTGGGTGGCGCATTTACGTTGTGGATGTCTATGGGCTCCAGTAACCACTTAACACCAGGTGGGCTGCGAGCTCATCCACTCATGTAACCAATAAAATAAAAAAAGAATTCAGAAACGAACACAAAGAAATCGAAAACCACAGCAAAATAAGACACAGTTAATAAAAATTACCGTAACATCAGTTCCAGCGCAAATTTTATTATTACGCGGAACTAACAATCAAATTTCATGGTATCGATTTTGAACTGTAAAATAAAATCGCGGACCCACTGATCTAGATATTTCGCAGTGTTTTTGATAAAGATGCGATTGCTATATGCACTGCTACATGCTATATAACTTTTACTTTTTTTGCAAAATTTGGACCGATTGCAGGGGTTTATACCAGAGGATCCCTTTGGCAAAATCTACTTATTTAGGTAGACCAGACCGTTTTTCTGTCGTGCCCATGATCTCTGGAAAGGCAGAGTCAGGGACTGCTAAGAATGAGAATATAAATTATATATATGCAGGTATTTTTTTGGGCCGGGGCCAAACTGCAAACGAGAAGTCCGCGCCTAGGCGTCGCACCGTCTGCAGATGTTGAGAGTAGACCGCGGGTCCAAGGCGTTTTTAGGGCTCTACTCGCTAAACAACTCCCCGTGTAGAGTACACTTGACGTCCGATCAGGGTATGAGGGTTGACACGGTCAGAATTCAAATTCGCATTGCCAATTCTAGAACGCAGTACTGACGGATTGTCGACAATTAAATATGCCGGCCCCTGCGGTACGGCAGTTCGTAAGAATATCCAGGATATCCCTCTAGTTCAGAACCAGCCTGTCGGGTCGGAACGCGATGTATTGGACAGTATTGGAACCGATTTTGATGATTTTTATTTAAAAACTGATATTGCTCATATGATCCCATCATTTTCTTATTGCTTAGATGGGTGGATGAGCTCACAGCCCACCTGGTGTTAAGTGGTTACTGGAGCCCATAGACATCTACACACGTAAATGCTCCACCCACCTTGAGATATAAGTTCTAAGGTCTCGAGTATAGTTACAACGGCTGTCCCACCCTTCAAGTCGAAACGCGTTACTGCTTCACGACAGAAATAGGCAGGGTGGTGGTACCTAACCGTGCGGACTCACAAGAGGTCCTACCACCAGTAATTACGCAAATTAAAAAATGTGGACCGCTTCACTATTTTGAATTTGAATTATGATTAAAATTTTCAAGTCGGTTCTCAAATTTGTTAAAAGCTCGTATTATTTGTATGTATCTAATTAAGTCGTGCTATTCATGGGTCGGGGTCATTGAACAAGTTCACGGCCATGTGAGAAGCCGCGTATGAACATCAGTACGTGAATGCTGACACCGACTTTAAGACATGAGGTCCAGGTTGTTGTTGCCCCACCTCTGAATTTGGAATCTATGAGTGCTTCAAGCAGAGCCAAGCATGGCGTCGCTACCCGTATAGGGCTAACATTACACGCTCCTGGCCTTTTGATTTTCATTTATCATTATTATTATTTATTAATTGTATTTTTTGACTTGTTTTTTTCTTTATTGTAAATATTTTTACTTATATAAAAAAAAAAATTGAAAAAAAAACAAAAAAAAAACCCGCTGAGTTTGTTTCGCCGGTTCTTCTCAGGACTGTGGCTCTTTTTGGTATCGGTGGTAGAGTTAACATTTTTATTTATATTTTGACATTCAACAAGTGTGTTATGCTGACAATATCTAAGTTGAAGTAAATGATTTTGAATTTGAATTTGAATTGAACTACCACTAATTTGAGTGTGCGTTCTCTTTATAAATTAATTTAATGTCTAAGTTACTCACCTTTTGCTGTTGCCGTCTGAAGGAAAGTGAAACATAGAAGTAGCAGAAGCAGCGTCATCTTGTCAGGGTTATAGAAATTGGATACTTTAATACCTGAAACAATACATTTAAAATTCATTAATTTCCTACGTGAACGGATCTCATTAATACAATTGATAAGCAATTGAATGACAGTAAAGAAGCAACTTATAAGCAATAACGGTATAAAAAAAGTATTTATGTTTGGAATGAACAAATTGAATGTAATAATAATTCCATTGTTATAATTACTAGATAAATAAATGCTAGTCCCGCAGTAGTCGAAATTCGACTATAATTATTTGGAATTGTAAGTTTGTACACTATTATGATTGTATTTTATAATAACAAATTTCGCCAAGACTACACTATAAAAAATATTAACAAAGACAAACAATATTTAATCTCAATTTGACAACAGACGTCAAGAACAAAAGTTTGACAATAAATAGTATGCAAGCGTGTGTGCGTCAAATACATGGTATGTAGTGTGTGTAATTATTGATTTAATGTATTGTAATTCTTTATTGATTTAATGTATCTTTTACGCATTATTTAAAAAAAAATATTAGCATTGTGCACTTCTTCTCTATATTCTCTATAAGTGTGGAAAATTTCATACTCCTCCGTCCGCGCAATTTTCGTAAAAAGGGATACAAAGTTTTTGCTTCACGTATTAATATATAGATTTTTATTGCCCTTGTAGGCAGATGAGCATACGGTCAACGGTGAGTGGTTACCATCGCTGATGGACATCAGCAATGCCAGGAGCAGAGTCAAACCGCAGCCTAAAACTATTATTATTATTATTATTTTATTTTTATTGCTTAGATGGGTGGACGAGCTCACAGCCCACCTGGTGTTAAGTGGTTACTGGAGCCCATAAACATTTACAACGTAAATGCGCCACCCACCTTGAGATATAAGTTCTAAGGTCTCAAGTATAGTTACAACGGCAGCCCCACCTTTCAAACCGAAACGCATTACTGGTTCACGGCAGAAATAAGCGGGGCGGTGGTACCTACCCGCGCGGACTCACAAGAGGTCCTACCACCAGTAAATGTTTACCAGTTTTACGATATGACAAAAATATTCCAATCAGAACACAAAACGTCACATTTGGCTAACTGTTTTTTAAATTTATCACCTGTTCACCTGTGTTCTCTATGATAGAAGATATAGGTATAGTAGAATAATTTTTTGAAATCGAGATTTTCTTGTACAAAAACAGCCATAGATACGGTCTACATTTGACTTCAAATCCAATAGACATTACTGCAGACATTGCCTTCGTTTTCTTGAATGAACGATTGAATGAAAGAGTGAATGAGATAATGAATGTATGAGTGAATGAAAGAATGAAAGCATGAAAGAATGACTGAATGAATGAAAATTCTTTATTGCAAAAAATATTGTACAAAGGCGCACTTAACGCCATGCAGGCATTCTCTTCTAGTTAACCCTCGTTGATGAAGTGAAAGATTCAAGAAATGCGTAGCTGTGAAAAGTTAATACATGGCGATAATTAAAAGAATTATAGTAGACATGAGTAAAATGAGCACTAGGTTATAATTACATTGCCAAAACAAATACATAGATACATACATACAAAATACATAGATGAGAAATACATATCAAATAAAATAATTCTCTTCCCAAGCTTTCCACTATAATCATCATTAGATGTGGATATATAGACAATTTTACGAGTGCGCCATCCGTGGCTAATCATTATGGTCATTATTTTGATTAATTAGTTAGTTCTCGTCCGGGAATTGAATCCTCAACGGTCTGGTGCGCGATCGACGATGTGTAAACAATTTAACCAAAACGGTATTCTTAGTGGAACGCTCATGCGGACTAGTTTCGCTAATACCCGCGACTTTATTTACGTTTGCAGGTTTGATGTTTAGGATTTTTTATTTTTTTGCCAGAATCTATACTAATACATATTATAAAGTAATAATAATAATAATAAAAATCATTTATTGCCTTTCACATCAAACAAAATAAAATGAAATACAAATAAAAGAAAAGAAAAAAAAAGAGAAAAAGGCAAAAGGAGGTGGCTCAGCTATTGCTGTTCAAGGTTGATAAATCGAACAGCGCTGATTTTCAGTCACCCCCGTTTCCCTTTGGTTCTTTGCGGGAATGTGGGCAACAAACCCCCGTTTCCCTTTGGTTCTTTGCGGGAATGAAGGCTAGGTACGTGTGTACATACTTAGAATATGGTATAAATTAGTAAAATTAGTAAATTATAAAAATTTAAGAAAAAAACAAAACAAAAATCAAATTAAATGGTGAACCCGAATACAAAACTAAAAATTTAAGAAAAAAACAAAACAAAAATCAAATTAAATGGTGTTCAAAAGCTGAAGAGTTTGTTTGTTTGAACGAGCTAATCTCAGAAACTACTGGTCTGATTTTAAAAAAAAATTCAGTTTTAGATTTTTTTTTTTTTTTGTCAGGAGGAAATCGCCGGACTTCCGCCCTCCACTGGGGATAGAGGGCGGGGCATGTCAGAGTCGAACTGACTAAAACCTCCTGTCGCTCAACAACCAACGTCCAAACCTCGCATGAGACAGAACTCATGAAGAGGCAGAGGGGGGAAAGTGAAGCGTTTAGTGCGGAGCACATCTCTCCCATCACCCTCCCCCTCGGGNATTTAATGTATCTTTTATGCATTATTTAAAAAAAATATTAGCATTGTGCACTTCTTCTCTATATCTATACTAATCTTATAAAGAGGAAAGATTTGTTTGTTTGTTTGTTTCGAATAGGCTCCGAAACTACTGGACCGATTTGAAAAATTATTTTTCCATTAGAAGCCGACATTGTCCCTGATGAACATAGGCTACATTTTTTTAATTTTTTTTAATTTTTTTTTTGGTTTCATGTGTGTTTTAATGTTTCCGAAGCGAAGCGAGGGCGGGTCGCTAGTTCTCTATAAATGTGTAACATTTCATAATCCTCCGTCCGCGCAATTTTCGTAAAAAGGGATACAAAGTTTTTGCTTCACGTATTAATATACAGATTATTATTGCCCTTGTAGGCAGATAAGCATACGGCCAACGGTGAGTGGTTACCATCGCTCATGGACATTAGCAATGCCAGGAGCAGATTCAAACCGCAGCCTAAAACTATTATTTTTACGATATGACAAAAATATTCCAATCAGAACGCAAAACGTCACATTTGGCTAACTGATTTTTAAATTTATCACCTGTGTTTTCTTACTACAGCTGCCATGATAGAAGATAGTATAGTAGTAGAATAATTTTTTGATCCCGAGATTTTCTTGTACAAAATCAGCCATAGAAGTACGGTCTACATTTGATTTCTAATCCAAATAGACATTACTGCAGACACTGCCTTCGTTTTCTTGAATGAACGAATGAATGAATGAGTGAATGAAATAATGAATGAAGGAGTGAATGAAATAATGAATGAATGAAAGAATGAAAGCATGAAAGAGTGAATGAATGAATGAATGACTGAAAATTCTTTATTGCACAAAAATATTGTACAAAAGTGGACCTAACGCCATGCAGGCATTCTCTTCCAGTTAACCCTCGTTGATGAAGTGAAAGATTCGAGAAATGCGTAGCTGTGAAAAGTTAATACATGGCGATAATTAAAAGAATTATAGTAGACATGAGTAAAATGAGCGCTAGGTTATAATTACATTGCCAAAACAAATACATACATACAAAATACATAGATGAGAAATACATATCAAATAAAATAATTCTCTTCCCAAGCTTTCCACTATAATCATCATTAGATGTGGATATATAGACAATTTTACGAGTGCGCCATCCGTGGCTAATCATTATGGTCATTATTTTGATTAATTAGTTAGTTCTCGTCCGGGAATTGAATCCTCAACGGTCTGGTGCGCGATCGACGATGTGTAAACAATTTAGCCAAAACGGTATTCTTAGTGGAACGCTCATGCGGACTAGTTTCGCTAATACCCGCGACTTTAGTTACGTTGCAGGTTTGACGTTTAGGATTTTTATTTTTTTTTGCCAGAATCTATACTAATACATATTATAAAGTAATAATAATAATAATAATAAAAATCATTTATTGCCTTTCACATCAAATAAAATAAAATGAAATACAAAAAAAAGAAAAGAAAAAAAAAAGAGAAAAAGGCAAAAGGAGGTGGCTCAGCTATTGCTGTTCAAGGTTGATAAATCGAACAGCGCTGATTTTCAGTCACCCCCGTTTCCCTTTGGTTCTTTGCGGGAATGAAGGCTAGGTACGTGTGTACATACTTAGAATATGGTATAAATTAGTAAAATTAGTAAATTATAAAAATTTAAGAAAAAAACAAAACAAAAATCAAATTAAATGGTGAACCCGAATACAAAACTAAAAATTTAAGAAAAAAACAAAACAAAAATCAAATTAAATGGTGAACCCGAATACAAAACTAAAAATTTAAGAAAAAAACAAAACAAAAATCAAATTAAATGGTGGTCAAAAGCTGAAGAGTTTGTTTGTTTGAACGCGCTAATCTCAGAAACTTTTTTTTTATTGCCTTTGTAGGCAGACGAGCATACGGCCCACCTGATGGTGAGTGGTTACCGTCGCCCATGAACTTCAGCAATGCCAAGGGCAGAGCCAAGCCGCTGCCTACCATAAAGTACTCTCCGCAAGCCTCGTTTGAAGAAGGACATGTCATAGCGCTCGGGAAACACCGTGGAGGGGAGCTCATTCCATAGCCGGATGGTCCGTGGCAAAAAAGATCTCTGGAAGCGCACTGTGGATGACCGCAGTGGCTCCAGGTAGTATGGATGAACTCTACTCCTACTCTCAGAAACTACTGGTCTGATTTTAAAAATTATTTCAGTGTTAGATAGCCTTTTTATTGAGGAAGGCTATAGGCTATAACACGTCATTTCGGATCCTTCCGATTCACTAACGGTGCTTTTAGGTACCTCAAGCACCGGTCATCGTTCTCATCGAACCCGTCGCTTGCGACGAAGGGCTCGACGAGTAAATTAGCCCTCAGACACAGCCCACTGAGTTTCTCGCCGGATCTTCTCAGTGGGTCGCGTTTCCGA